TCTTGTGTAACTTCCGACCGTTTGTCATTTAAAAAATGCATACAATGTATACTCAATTAGTCAATGCTCATTTGCAAATACTGTGTGAACGAGAAACCTCCCTATTTCGGCTTACTAAAATCACTGATGAATAATTAAACTTATAACTAAACTAACTGTCCTGTCCTGTCCTTACTGTAAAGGCGACGCGTGATAACAGGTCTATCGTATCACAGGACTGGGCTCCATCACAGGGGCCCAGGTACGATAAGATACGGTATCTAGAGTAAGACTAACACTGAGGGTGGTCACTATAGTTGCAAAAAAATTAAAAAATTAAAAAATAGTTTCCACATATCAGAAACCCCTTAACAAGTATCTGTATATACCTTTCGAGTCATTCCATCCCACCAGTAATAAAAAGGCTTTCATTAAAGGAGAGCTTACACGGTACGTTAGAAATAATTCTACTTTTGCCTCCTTTAAGGCTATTAGGGATAGCTTTTGGAAAAGACTTAGAGTCCGGGGTTACCCTTACAGCTTTCTTTTGCCTTTATTCAAGGAGATCAGATACACTTATCCGGTCTAAATGGCTCAAACGTATAAATCGTGGCAAACGCATAACTAGTGTAAATAGACCTATCATTTTTAAGACTACTTAAAACTGTAGTCACACTCGCATTAAGCGTGTTATCAACAGTATTATGCCAGAACTTGATTGTGTGGTTTGTTACAAATCCACCACTAATCTCGCAAAACTATGTTAAAAAATTTTTTGGGGTCCGTGAGTTTAGCGCTAGACTCACGGACCCCAAAACCACTTATCTTGTAAAACCACTCCCATACTATTATGGTGTAGTGGTTATTTAGTTATTCACGTATATCCTGTTCCGCCAGATAGCATTCCTCAGTTATCTCGCCCATATAGAACACTATATATACAATAGCTATAAACTCTTGCAAACTATCCCTGATGAAGACTGTGTAGACAGTCGAAACGCGTAGGATATTAAAGTTTACTAAAGTTTACACTCCGTGCTGCTCACTAGTTATTTTTCAAAAAATTGTGCGAACATAAAAACATTTGGTGTTTCAACGGATTATTATCGCCAGAAGTATTCATTTCTATGCAACTGAGAGTGATTTGCCCAGACTAATTTTTATGTATTTGAAAAGCTCATCTCTTGTTTAGTAATCACTCCGAATTTTATTGCAAACAAAATACTTGCACGTTTAAAAAATGATCGTTTTGTAAAGGTACCAATTTCCATATAAAAATACATATGCGAATATTTGGAGTTCGAGAAAATTTTCCTTTTAATTAAATGGTCTGAAAATCAATGAAATAAATATCAAAGAGTTAGTAAGAAAGCTGCAATTTAAATTTTTAAAATAGCTATTTTAGTTTTTACATGAACTCGGTATAAAGTTTGGCTATTTTGAGAGCTATTTTTAGCAATCAAGCATCTGTCACGCAAAGGTCCAGTATGTGACTTTAATTAGCGATTTTCTTGCGAAAAATGAAATATTTTCAAAAACCAATTACACAGCGATTGTTACCTNAATTTTTGGGTGTCCTTTCATCTGGTGGGGTTTCTTTTGTGATTAGATAATATTTCTTTGATTAGTGCCCAGTCCCCTGTGCAACGTCGAAATGGCTAATACACTTACAAATTTGCTGCATTGCAGATTACAAAATTGTTTTGGCAATGGTCAGTGCCTCAGTGCCTATAAGTGGCTGGAGATTGTACGGCAGAGGACATAATATAGGGTCAACAACATCATACGTTGATAATAGGTAATTATCATCTCTAGAAGGATTGTCTGGTTTTATACTTTCGTCTGAGGACTGTGTTGATTGTGATTGAATCTCTTGACTACTGCTGCTTTCCTTAGATGAAGATACAGTTTCTATTTCCTCTTCCATATGGCACATAAATTGTAATAGGAGTTCTATTGGTACAGCTACTCTGAGAATCTGACCTCTGCCCCTTGAGTATAATCCTGGAAATTTGTGAAGAAAATGTTGTTGATTAATAATAGGGGTTATCAACCTGGCTTAACCAATTAAAAATATCAAGAAGGACACCAGATTTCTATCGAGACACATTGTATTGAGGAAATTATGTGGGCGCGCGAATATAGGTATTTTACCTTCAAATATTGGTGTATTACATAGATAGATAGATAATTTTTTCCAACACTAAACTCTGCTGAAGCAAGATTGATTTCAAAGATTATTGAATTACCTCCAATTAAAGGGTCATATTGGAAATTTTTACATATATCTATCTCCCACTTGTCATGGATATTTGCAAATTCTTTTTTTGCCGTTTCATCAAGAATT